AATTAAAAATTAAACATAAAAAAAATTTTGTGTTTAGGAGAGATGTGACTTTGCATGAATATGGATCACCTTCCTCAAGCACGCCATCAGGTGTGGAGAAATCAAAATGGATAGCAATAAGATAAATGCAATCCAATATTTGAGAGTCCCCACTTCAATGACCGAACAATCATTTTTGGGATTAGAAAACTAACGATAGGTAGTTCGTTGAAGGATTTTCACGATAAGCCGCCCCACTAATAGAACTTTTGAAGAAAAACCACTCTCGATCGTGGTCAAACGAGTGTCAAAAGACCTTCAAAGATTGATGCATTTGACTTTCTCCCTTGGGTGTCCTTTTCCAGGAACGTCATCCTTTCAATAATGCGAAAAGGAGATAAACTTTCTTCGGAAAAGAAATGTTCGCTATCTCTATTGCGTTTATAACCCAACCCAACGTGATCAACAGGGTGGAGGAACACCTAATATTAATCAACAATAGGTTAACCGTCGTCTTTAACAATGTTTAATATTCCTATACCAAAGTTATTGTTGATCCTAGCCAACAGGATTAGAAAAGATTAGTGGGTGGATGCTATTGTTGATCCTAGCCAACAGGATTAGAAAAGATTAGTGGGTGGATGCACCAAAGATCTGAACTCTGCTGCGATCCACGTTGAAGATTTCAAACATACCTCTCCAATCATTGTCGAATCCCACAATAAAGAATATCATGTCAAGAATGGGATTTAAACCTACGCCCTTTCGGACTAGTACCTAAAATTAGCGCCTTAGACCAACTGAGCCATCTTAACTGTCCTTTTCCATTTTATTTTGTAACAACTCAAGCCCGCCGCTAGTAAATATTGTCCGCTTAGGCCTGTTACGTATTGCCGTCAACGTCACGATTTTAAAAAAACATTTTGGTCACATCTAGGAGATGAGGAGGTTTATTGAATTCGTAGGCCAATTAGATGACTTAATTTGGGCTTTTAGCTCCAGGTTACTCTATTCTGAATCCACAAAGATCTTTAGTCTGGGGGCATTAGGGTCTAGACCCTCTGACCATTGCTCATGATTCTAACGTGCTAAGGCTACTAGAGGCATCCGGATCTTAGTCATGGTCTAGCCAACCTAACTCTAACACCCTAGCTCTGTGTAGATAAACATTCTCCACAGGAAGAACACATAGTCAAATACCTGGAGATAACAAATACTTTTCAGATTCAAGCTTTCGTCCCTTGAACTTGCATATTTTCACGTTCGAAGTTGCTCCATGTACAATACCAGGAGCTAACAAATACTGTATAAGAATGTTTGATTAATCCACCATACCTAAATGGAGTGAAAGTTATCTTATTTATAATCAAATAAATTACAAGGATATGGAAATAGTAATAAATGGAAATAACAATGAGTGGAAAGATAACTATGATAATAAGGCAAATATTAGATATTTGCCTTATAATAAAATATCAAATATAATATATATCTGGTAAACTATAATTTATTACTAAATATCCTTAAGACCCCACCGCAAGCTAAGCGTCGGATTTAAACGAACATGAAGCTTGAATCTGAAAAATTCAAAGAGGTTGAGAAACACTTTTCGTGAAGATGTCGACAACCTGGTTCAGAGGAGGCGTAGAGAAACACTTTCTTGGTCATTGAAAATTGCAGAGGGATCACCGCTCAGCGGCTATGCTGCCTTGGCTTCAGCGAGATGTCTAACCCATGAAGATTGGATTGTCGCTTAGCGACAATGCTGCCTTGGCTCTGGTGAGAATATGTCTAACCCTAAGAAGTAGAAGGGGAAACCTAGAGCAAGGGACATAGACAATATTGAAGCCAAAAGAGTCGCCACATTGGGCGAAGGAGCCAATTTTAGCGAGAAGGGCGGCAGCAACTTGGTTGGCGAAGAGGCCAGTGCGGCACCCAGATTCCAAAGGTAAATCTCTGCATAAGGTCAATGGGCTTATCAAGATTCTGTATATTTTCAAAGAGAACGCTGATGAAGATCGTAAGATTAGGGTTTCTATGAAGCATGAAGGATGAAGGAAAAATTGGGAAGAAAATGAAAGAGACTATGTTTGGAAAAGGTGAGGTTGTATGTACAGAGTATGGCGAAGGATGATTTGGAGGTCAAAAGGGTGGAGCCGAAGAGTAATCAATCGGCTCTGTATGTGGCAGCCATGACGACTGCCCCTGCGGCGTCAAAGCTAGCAGTGGTGGTGGAGAAGAACAGTAGAAGATTTCAAAAGCCATTGAAAAGAAAGGATCCGGGTTGCTAAACCAAAATGGCTCTGATATCATAAGAATGTTTGATTAATCCACCATACCTAAATGGTGTGAAAGTTATCTTATTTATAATCAAATAAATTATAAGGATATGGAAATAACAATGAATGGAAAGATAACTATGATAATAAGGCAAATATTAGATATTTGCCTTATAATAAAATATCAAATATAATATATATGGTAAACTATAATATATTACTAAATATCCTTAACATTAAGAATGTTTGATTAATCCACCACACTTAAATGGTGTGAAAGTTATCTTAATTATAATCAAATAAATTACAAGGATATGAAAATAGTAATAAATGGAAAGAACAATAAATAGTAAGATACCTATGGTAATAAGGCAAATATTAGATATTTACTTTATAACAAAATATCAAATATAATATATACGGAAAAGTATAATTTATTACTAAATATCCTTAACACCCCACCGCAAGCTGAGCGTCGGATTTGAACGAACGTGAAGCTTGGATCTGAAAAATTCAAAGAGGTTGAGAAACACTTTTCGTGAAGATGTCAACAACCTGGTTTAGAGGAGGCGTAGAGAAACACTTTCTTGGCCATCGAAAATTGCAGAGAGATTGCTGCTCAGCGGCGATGCTGCCTTGGCTTCGGCGAGAATATGTCTAACCCATGAAGAGGGATTGTCGCTTAGCGACGATGCTGCCTTGGCTCTGGTGAGAATATGTCTAACCCCAAGAAGTAAAAGGGGAAACCTAGAGCAAGGGACAAAGACAATGTTGAAGCCGGAAGAGTCGCCACATTGGGGCGAAGGAGACAATTTTGGCGAGAAGGGCGGCGGCAACTTGGTTGGCGAAGATGCCAGTGCGGCGCCTAGATTCCAAAGGTAAATCTCTGCAAAAGGTTGATAGGCTTATCGAGATTCTGTATATTTCCGAAGAGGAATGCTGATGAAGATCCTAAGATTAGGGTTTCTGTGAAGGATGAAGGATAAAGGGAAAATTGGGAAGAAAATGAAAGAGACTATGTTTGGAAAAGATGAGGTTGTATGTACAGAGTATGGTGAATGATGATTTGGAGGTCAAAAGGGTGGAGCCGAAGGGTAATCAATCGGCTCTACATGTGGCAGCCATGGCGATTGCCCCTGCGGCGTCAAAGCCAGCAGTGGTGGTGGAGAAGAACAGTAGAAGATTTCAAAAGCCATTGAAAATAAAGGATCGGGGTTGTTAAACTGAAAGGGCTTTGATACCATAGGAATGTTTGATTAATCCACCCCACCTAAATGGTGTGAAAGTTATCTTAATTATAATCAAATAAATTACAAGGATATGGAAATAGTAATAAATGGAAATAACAATAAATAGAAAGATACCTATAGTAATAAGGCAAATATAAGATATTTATCTTATAATAAAATATCAAATATAATATATACGGGAAATTATAATTTATTACTAAATATCCTTAACACATTGACTAAAGAAGGAACTATTTCAAATTTCATTGACTAAAGAAGAATCTAATCTCTATTAGTTAGATGGATAGCACAGATTATATAGCAGAGTTACAAAGTTTGTAAAAGATTGTGAAGGGGTGCTATGGTAGTAGCACGTGACATAAAATATGATACAATATACACCATTGTAGGTTGTACAAACATGACTTCTATGACTGAGAGTGCTTTTAGTTCAAGTCTATGTCACAATAGACTTGGGCATATAGCGTTAAAAGAATAAAGATAATGGTTGCGAAAAGAGTTTTAGAGGATAAATGAGCCAGCTTCACAAAAGCTATCATTAAATCAAATGAAGTGCGGTTCGAAATGGTCCATATAGGTGTTTAGTACCATCTTTAATTGCATCACTTGGTGGATCCTAGTTCTACGTAACCTTTATTGATGAATTTAGTAGGATGGTATGGCCGAAAAAGAGTATGACAAGTCACAAACTTAGGAATTAGAATTTTAAGTCATATTTAATTTCCTAAACTTAGGTTATTATAGGTGGCCATGTATTTCATGTTTTAAATTTATTTCATTATCATTTTAAGTTAATAAATTACCTTTTGAACACATAAGATCATAGCAATGTTACGAAGTATGTTTATATTGAAAGTTTATGGTTTAAATGATGATGTTTTAAGAGTTATATTTCGCATATGAGCTTAGATTAAGATGATAGTTGCAACTTTAGGTAGCTGAAATCTAGGGTCGTTACATATTTATCTTGAGTTTTTGTGATTTTTCTAAACATTTTGTTCCTTGACCTCATCTTGAACTTCCAGTCTCTACAACTCTCAATAAAATTCCACAATTTAAAATTTTAAAAGAAAAGGGCAGAGAATTAATCCTCATTCAGGCTAGACTGTTACAATGTAAAACAAAAGAAACACAAGACGGTTGGATATTTCATTTACTTCGGTGTATTTTCTTTATTTTTTCTTGCTCTCAACACTTTTTGTTATTTTCTACAACACAAACATTTGAATAAGATAACATACACAATGTATTTTCCCAATTGTGAATACACAAAAACCACCCCAAATAATACATATCTAAAATATTTAACCTTTTAAACCTCTCAAAGTCAAAGATTTAACCTTTTTACCGCCCAAACTAGAAACTTCACCACCCAAAGAAGGAAGGGAATTACAATACAACAAAGAAAAACCACCGCCACTGTTGCAAGCAAAATGTACCATGCAATTTTTAAAGCATAAGAATGCCTATATGAGACATTTACCAACCAAACTCAGAGCAAGTAGCTTTGTGATAAGAACGCAATGGCAACGCACATGGTTACGGTTAACATCCATGCACAAATCCTATTTTTCAAAGGTAATCGACCTATGATGAACATTATAACACATATTGATGCAAAGAATGAGATAGAATTTGTAATCAAGTAACCAGTGTAAGAATTTCCTTGGTCTGAAGTTGGGTAGGCCATTACTGCAGTCCCTGCTATCAAAGTTTTCAAAGTATTGCTACTGTGAAACAAACGATGAGTAGTGTTATTGGAGTTGAAAGGAATGTCTTCTTGCCAAACACCGTCGGGAGGGTTGATTGCACCTTGAAAAGCCACGGTTGCAATCACAGTTGCCACCAACATCATTGTGCCTTGCACTTCTTGAAACCAATCACCTTTGTATTCAAGGTTCTTCATCCACAAACTTCTTATAAACGTTTTGAGTGTTAGTGATATCGATGCCTTTTTATCGCATTGTTCTTCAATTCTGCTTGGTGATCCCTTCTCATTTGAGGTAGCACAGTTGTTTTTAGTGTTTGTTCCAGTTTTTATTCCTGGAATAGACAATAAATATTGTACTATCTGCTAAATTTGAATTCAATTTGTTTATATCATGATAGTGTTAGGATTGTTGGGAGGGAGTCCGCTATTTTAGGGAAGAATTGTGGGTTTATGATTAAGGAATACATCTCCATTGGTATGAGGCCTTTTGGGGAAGCCCAAAGCAAAGCCACGAGAGCTTTTGTGCAGATCCTTGATTCCTAACATGGTATCAGAGCCATGCCCTTAACATAGCCATGTCAATAGAATCCTCAAATGTCGAACAAAGAAGTTACCCTCGAAGGTGTAGTCAAAAGTGACTCAAGTGTCGAACAAATGATGTTTGTTGGAGGACTCTAGAGAAGGAGTCTAGCCTCGATTAAGGAGAGGTAGTTTGAGGGCACCATAGGCCTTAAGAGAGGCTCTATAATGTGCTTCATTCGAGGTTGGGATTGTTAGGAGAGAGACCTATTTGATACCTTTTTAAGCTACGGATAATAATTTTTAGTTTCATAAAATAAGAACTTAGTTTCAATTATAATAACATACCTCAATTCGTCTTAACATCATAGAAAAATCCAAAATGGTATTTTCATTCTCATCGCCTTGGTTGAGGAATCCATAATCTTGTGGATCTTCAATCATTGTGATCAACAATTTAAGAGCTTCCAAGTGGTTGTGTTTTACGCATAAATGAAGAACAGATTGACCATTGTGAAGCTTAATCCAAGGAGATCTTGGCCTCGCATTGATCAACAATGGTATGATATCAATTTGCCCATTAATCACTGCATGGTGGAGAGGAATCAACCCATTCAAATCACGAACCATGCAAGTGCTTGTGTTCTTCTCCAGCAAAGCTTGAACAATCTCGACTGTTCCATTTTCAGAAGCCAAGTGGAGAGGTGTCCTTTGTAGGTCATCAACTTCTCCAGCAAGTTTAGGCTCGAGATTCAGTAAATATCGAGTGAATTCAAGATGGCGATGCAAAACTGAGACATGCAATGGACTTTCAATGTTGGAAGAGGAGATTAGAACTCTTTGAATGATATTTGGGTTGCCTTGAATTAGTGTCTTCAAGCTTTGAATGGAACCAAACTTTGATGCTTCTTCATAGAGCTTTCTTTTACTTTCTTGGCTAATCTAAATTTATTGCTTTCTCCATTTACCTCCATTATTGATTCTCTAACTTACCTCCAAATGGGGTTTTCACATAAAATTTAGAAGATTTTGTTGATTATTTATTTATTTATTTTTAATAGATGGTGAGGCTTCCAACTAAGTTACAGTTGACTTTTTGAATTTTTAAAATAGTCCAATTATTACCCTCATTTCTTAGAAAAAAATTAAGAAATAAATTATTATTTGTACTTCACTCGAGAGGGACACCAAAGTGTCACCATCCTAGTTTAAGTGAATGTCAAGCAAACGGAAAGAAACTTCTTTGTTGAATCATGGATAGATGTATATATCATTATTTATTTCACTTAATTTTATTGGGAAGCTATCATTTTTCATCGGCAAGGATAATGCCTCTCGTGATTGTGATTAAGTTAAATTATACCACACTTGTTAAATTTAGAGATAGATTTTTGTATAACAGTTTCATTTTTGCCCTTAAATTTGTTTCAAAATTTTTCGTAATAATTAAAAACGAAAGGTGATGTGATAAGGTTGGGTTATGGAATCTGTTGTCTATTTATAATAAAAATATTTATATATAATAGGTGGTTATATAGGTTAAAGTTATATATAGTAAATTGAAACTATATATATATAACTATTTGGTAGTGCTTTCGTAAATGTCTGAAGGTGGATTTGTTGCTGATCATATAAATGAGTTCAACATGATTGTAAGTCAATTGAGTTTGGTGAAAATTAATTTTGAGGATGAAATTAAGGCACTGATTTTGATGTCATCTTTACCCGAGTCTTGGGACACTGTTATTATCGCGACCAGCAGGTCTTGAGGATCTTAGAAACTGAAGTTCGATGAAATCCGAGATGTAGTTCTCAATGAAAGTATTCGCAAACGAGAAATTGAGGATTTTTTTGTAGTGCTCTTAGTCTTTGACGAAAGGGGAAGAAGTAGATCGAAGGGCCAAAAAAAATATCGATCAAAATCAAAGAACCGTGAAAATTTTCCAAACAGACTAAACGTGACGTGTTTGAGTTGTGGAGAAACAAATCACTTTCGGACAAATTTTACAATACCAAAGAGGAAGCAAATCACAAATCGAAAGATGATAATAATTCTATAAATTAAGCGGAAGATATTGGGAATTCTCTAATCCTCAGTGTGAAAAGTCCAATTGAACCCTATATTTTGGATTATCTTTTAATTCGTCTTCAAATAAATAGTTGTCTCGAAATTTAAAGTCTTGAAATTTTGAGGTGTATCTTGTCGACAACAAAGATTTGGTGATTGAAGGAAAATGAGATGAAAGCATACAAACTCCAGCAAAAAATTAGTGGACATTAAGGGATGTTAGATATATTCGTGGTCTCAAGAAGAACATAATCTCTATTGGTCAGTTGGATAGCACAGGTCATGCAGCCAAATTTGAAAACAGTTCGTGGAAGATTGTGAAGAATGCCATGGTAGTAGCACGTTACATAAAATATAGAACCCTATACACCATGTAGGGTGTATAAACATGGTTGCTGTTGTTGAGAGTGCTTCCAATTCAAGTCTATGACACAATAGACTTAGACATATGAGCGCCAAAGGAATGAAGATGCTTGCTGTGAAAGGAGTTTTAGAAGACCTAAAATTTGTTCATACGGGTTTTTATGAGAGCTTCGTTATGGGCAAACAAAAACGAGTTAGCTTCACAAATGTTGCTAGAGAACCAAAGAAAGTACGATTGGAAATGGTCTATACGAACGTTTGGGGACCATCTCTAGTTTCATCACTTGGCGAATCAAAGTTCTACGTCACCTTCATCGATGATTTCAACAGGAAGGTGTATGTTTAGTTTCTGAAACACAAGTCAGATGTCTTTGCCACCTTCAAGATGTGGCAAGTTGAAGTTGAAAATCAGATCGACTTGAATATCAAATGCTTGAGGTCTGTCTTTTTTGTCGAGATATATTATTCGACGTCTAAAAAATTAGGACGCGACTTCTAATATCATGGGTAATTTCTATGGTTTACTTTTTTTCCAAGCTTTCTAACATATTATAAGGTCCGAACTCTTTTCTTTTTTTAATTTCTTTATTTAAACCCTACCAACATGTGCAGGAGCTTTTTTTTTTTTTTTTTCAAGAGCTTTAGAAAATGAATAACAAAGGGAACACAAAACCGTTGGATATTTCGTCACTTGGAGTATTTTCTTTCTACTTTTGCTTGTTCTCAACACTGCTCGTTATTTTACTCCACAAACATTTAAAATAAAATAACATACACAAAATATGTTTTTCGTATTATGAATACACACACCACCATAAATAATTCTCAACACTTCTTTGTGTAGATAAACACGCTTGATAGGGAGAATACACTATCAAACACCTAAAGCTAATACATACTGTATCGTGAACAATACAAGCAAACAAGCTTAACGGCAAGATAATATCCATAAATCACCCTGGATTGCAAATCACAATAGCTCATCCTCCTTTCTAAGAAATTTGAGTGGCGTAGCGGAAGTGTGGTGAGCCCATAAAATTGTTTTACAATGGCATTTAAAATTTGGGAGGAAGAGCGTGTGATATGACTCCTAAGCTATTGCCGCCCACCATCAATACATTGCTTATTAAAAATGAAATTTGAACCCATGTCCTTTTGAAAAGCTTATGGTTCCAGGTTACTCTATTCTGACTCATTGACTCTTTGTTTATTCCTGGAATGTCTAGGAGTGGAAGAGTTTTATTGGATTCCTAGGCCAGCTAAGTTGCTTAACACAAGCTTTTGGTTCCAGGTTACTCTATTCTGACTCCTCGACTCTTTCTTTAGTCCTGCTGTAATAAAGTCTATTTCCTCTTAACGTCGCCACAATCTTAAGGTGCTTAGTCTAGTGTACACATCTTGACCTAAGTAATCGTATAACCAACCTAACTCTTACACCCTAGCTCTGTGTAGATAAACACGCTAGATAGGGAGAACACACTGTCAAACACCTCGAGCTAACACATATTGTATCATGCACAATACAAGCAAACAAGCTCAACGGGAAGATAACATCCTTAAATCACCCTAGAGCATAGATCACAATAGCACATCCTCCTTTCTAACAAATTAGAGTGGCGCAGCGGAAGTGTGGTGGGCCTATAACCCATAGACAAAATTTAACTACTAACATTTTCAAATGAAATCTCTATTACGTTAATTTATTTTTTAAGATTAGTTTTTTAATGTGTTGAAAATATATTTTATATTAAAGGGGGCAGGGATGAGGCGACGTTTCCAACCCCTTTTATCTAACGGAATAAAAATGTTCCTCACTTCTCCTGTTTCTAGTCTAAACAGGAATCCCTCCCCCACACGTAAAATACACATCTCTACTTATCATCCGCCTTAACTAAGATAGTGATATTTTGTTTTCACTTTCTGAGTAAAAAGTGTAAATATTATATATATTTTTTTTAATTTTTATTGTATAGAAAGTGATTCCAACAACTAAACTATTTAAATAACTCAAAATGTCAACTTTAAAATTCAAACAAAAAATTGGCTTATAAATTCTACGGTAATACTCCATCTCAAAGTAAGCTAGATATGCAATAATGGAGGCAACTCATCAACAACTCACACAATCTTACAATATTGCAAATAGATTAGCAATGTTGTCTATTGAAAAAAAGCAAACGATTGCTCTATGAAGCATTAAAGATCGGGTCCATTCAAAGCTTAGAAACACTAATTTAAAGCGACCCGAATATCATTCAAACAGTTCTAATCTCTTCTTACAACATCGAGACTCCATTGCACGTCTCGGTTTTGCATCGCCACCTTGAATTCACTAAATTTCTTTTAAATCTCATGCTTGAACTTGATGGAGAAGTTGATGTCGTGCAAAGGACACCTCTCCACTTAGTTTTTGAAAATGGAACGGTCGAGATTGTTCAAGGTTTGCTGTTGAAAAACACAAGCACTTGCATGGTTCGTGATTTGAATGGGTTTATTCCTTTCCATCATGCAGTGATTAATGGAAGAATTGATATCATGCCACTGTTGATCAATGCGAGGCCACAATCTCTTTGGATGAAGCATCACAATGGTGAAACTATTCTTCATTTATGCCTAAAACACAATCATTTGGAAGCTCTTAAGTTGTTGATCATAATGATTGAAGATCCACAAAATTATGGGTTTCTCAACCACCCCAAATGTGAATGAAAATACCATTTTGAATTTTTCTATGGTGTTAAAAATTTATCATTAAAAATTTAAGTTTATATATAATTTTGTTATTCACTTTCTATTAATATTTTTAAAAATTGTCTTTATTTTTTCACAATTTTTTTACCATCATTTTAATATTTCTAATTTTGAGCCAAACTTCAAAAAAATAAAATAATAATAAATAAATAAATAAAATAAAAAATTCTTTCATTAGTTTTTATTTAAAATCTTTTGGTTGAATTTGAAAATATATGAATAAGTAAATAATAGGAAGAAAAAAAAAAAGCTTAAAATTAAATCTATTTTTAAAAAATAAGATTATTTTTTCTCATAATTTTAATGAGTTTTTTGTTTTTCTTTAAAAAAAAAATCTTATCCAATTTGGATTGAAATTGTGTATATAGTAAGATATTTGTGGTCTATCCCGGGAATAAAAAGTGGAAAAAATACTATGAACAATGAAGAACAATGCAACGACATAAGAAGTTCGTGAAGGAAGAACCTTGAATACAAAGGTGATTGGCTTCAAGAATTGCAAGGTACAATGATGTTAGTAGCAACGGTGATCGCAACGATAGCTTTTCAAGGTGCAATCAACCCTCCTGGCGGTGTTTGGCAACAAGACATTCCTTTCAACTCGAATATCACTATTCATCATTCGTTTCATAGTAGCAATACTTTGAAAGCATTCATAGTGGGAACTGCAGTAATGGCCTACCCAGCTTCATGCTAAAGAAATTATTAGACGGCTTACTCGGTTATAAATTTTATCGCATTCTTTGCATCGGTATGTGTGATTATGTTCATTATAGGTCGATTGACTTTGAA